AATGTTCTTATTTTTTCCCCCGAATAAGTCCCCCTGATTGTCCTGTGTACTTCAAGAAATCTATGAAAATTACCCCCTTGACATCCCAAAACATGGTTGTCCCAGCCATCTGCACCAAGACCTCAGCCTGGAATTGAATTGGCCTAGAAGCTCCCATTGGAAGCCACTGCTTTGATGGGATTTTCTTTTGAAGGCCCCTTACTGAGCCTAAGGACCACTGGTGGAGTGGTGGTTCAGATTTGGGGCTGCCAACCCCAAGGTCAGCAGTTTGAAAGAACCAGCTGCTTCATGGAAGAAAGACAAGGTTTTCTACTGCCGTGAAGAGTGCCAGTCTCAGCAACTCCCAGGAGCAGTTCTACCCTGCCCCATAGGGTCACTATGAGTTGGCATCGACTGGGTGGAAGTAAGTTCTAAGCTTTTAATGAGACTAAGACAGGTATATGACCGAGGGAACTTGTCTGCAGCCATTCACAGATCAAAAATATATGCTTACATATATTTTGTTTGGAATAAGCACATGCATATCTAAACTGGTTCCCTAGGCGTAATACATTCCTATTTACCATTGTATTTACTAAATGTCAAGTATTATTCTAGGCATGTGGGGCACATTAGTAAATAAAATCGACCCCCAAATTTCTGCTCTTGTAGAGGTTATATTCTAGTGGAGGGAGATGGTCAACAAACAAGAAAATATAAGGCATGGAAAATCATAAAGGCTACTAAAGAAAAAAAATGAAGGAAAGGAGTTAGTGGGTGTTAGAGAGAAGGAAGATCATCTAGTCCAGGGGAAGGCGGTGATATGGAAGGGGAGGGGCGGGGGGAGGTGGAGATCTGGAAAGTAGACTGGGAGCAGGCTGAGGGAAAGGGAAAACCAGGATCCCGGTTAGCATGGTGATTATGAGTTAAGCTTACCTCCAGGTCAGCAATTCAAAACCAACAGTCGCTCTGCAGGAGGAAGAGGAAGCTCTCGAGTCCCATAAAGCGCTATGGTTTTGGAAACCCCCAGGAGTAGTTCTCCCCTGGTCCTATGAGGTCACTAAGAGTCGGCAGTCACCCTCAGCATTCGTTGCCAGTACATTTGTGGTGGGCTTTGAAGAAAAACGCAAGTGCGAAGATTCACAGGCAGGAGCCGACCACGCCTGTAAGAAGAACAGCAAGGGGACCAGTGTCACAACCGTGAGCAAGACGTGCGGTAGAACCCCGGGGCTCGGCCGCATCCGCCCTCGACGTCGTCGGTTTCCACTCCACACGTCGAGACAAGGTTGCTCAGAGCTCTAACAAAACTTCGGAATCCGACCCGACGCACGTGATTCCCGTAAACAAGAGCTGTTCCTGTTTCGGTCACTCGGCGTTAGTTGGCGTTGTTAATACGTGTTGTTTAAACCTTTTGCAGCTGTGTTCCAAGCGTTTTGCTATAATTTTCTTAGTTTTTGTGGCTTTTTGTACTGTTTTTAGATTTTAAAAAAACATAGGTCATAAGAAAGAGTTTTTTGAAAAGAACTATCATGATAAAGAACTAGCTAACTGTGTTACTGATATTGTTGATAATTTAGTAAGCCCTTTTAGGAAACAGTTAAGGAAACGCCAACAGCTGACCACATGAGACAGATTTTTTTGAGAGAAAGCCAGCCAGGTCCCTGTGAAAAAGGCAAAGAGGGGAAAAATCCTCCTGAAAAACAGCTACCAGTTGATTTGATGGAAGGGGATTCCCCTTCCAATGACTCTCCACACCTCCTCTCCACATCCGTGTCCGCAGATCCAGATCTGCATCAGTCTCAATGTAGGGCCATCCTGTGGTGCTAAAAACTTTTTAAATGTTGTTTCCTATTTAAATTATATTATTTAACGCTGAACTTATTTACTTTGAAATTTCTGTGCCATGTTTTGTATAAAAAGGCAAGGTTAGGGTAAAAACTTGGCAGTCGAGAACGGATTAATCCATTTTCCATTATTTCTCATGGGAAAAATTGATTAAGAACTCCACTGCATTGCATCTCGCTCAACGCTCCTTCTAGAACAGGTTAGTGTCGAGGTCCGGGATTCTCCTGTAGTAGGTCACGTAGGGCTTTGTAGACCTTTGTAACGAAAACCCAAAGAAACCCACTGCCTTGGAGTAGATGCTGACCCACAGGGACCCTATAGGCCAGGGTAAAGCAGAGCAGCACTGAAAGGTTTCCAAGATGATCAATCTCTAGAGAAGCAGATTACCTGCCTCATCGTCCTCCTGCAGAGTGGGTGGTGGGTTTGAACTCCTGACCTTCCAGTTAGCAGTCTAACACTTAAGCGACTTTACCACCAGGGCTCCTTTAGCCCACTGTAATTACTTAAATGTTAACTGAGTGAGATGGACTCAGGGTAGGTATTGAGTGGGTGGAGAACAGGTGGTAAGAGAACAGGAGGAAAAGTAGGGAAATCCATCCAGAAGCTGCAGCAGTGATAGAAGGTGGGCTTGGTGGTAACTTTGGACTAGGACCAGGAACAGTGGGGTAGTGGGAAGTGGGCAGGAGATTAATAAACTATGGGGTTGGAGAGAGAGGACTATTCATACTCAGTTTATGGATTTGTTTGCTTAGTAAATGAATAAGAATTGCTTTTTATTGAACGCTTTTGTCTACATGTACTCATGATTATATGGTTTTTCTTCCTTAATTTATTAATGCCATGAATTATATAAATGTATTTTATAATGCCTTATGGATTTTGTATTCATAAGAATGTGAGATAAACAAAAGATATAGCGTCTGGGGTCTTAAAAGCTTGAAGGTAAACAAGCGGCCATCTAGCTCAGAAGCAACAAAGCCCACATGGAACAACATAT